TTGTGCCCGGAGCGGCTGGGCCGGCGGGCGCCGGAGCATAGGGGGCGGTCCTATAGGACTGCCTTCCTTCCCGGTACCTCGGTCTCGATTCTGGGCGAGGGTATCGCTGAGTTCGCTGTCCCAGAGCGGCGGTGCCGCTCGGGTATTGCTGGAGACTCAGCTGGGATTGTCTCTGTGGGAGAGTCGGCTGGACCGCTCTCCTCCTTTTTCTTCTTGAGGCAATTGGTAATTCCAATGGCGTTGTCAGTATTGAAGACTCCAAAACGGCTGTTGGCAAGACAGATCTTGACACTAAAGTGAAATTCCGTAGACGTATGCACGAACACCATAGCTTCTTGGATGCCTGAGCAATTCCGTCTTGCGGTCTCTGATACTTCATTTCCTAATCCTTTGGTCCGTTCATGATGTGGGCCAAATGATATGACCGCGGACCTAATCCGACAATCCACAGCATAAACATCATGCATAACTTCGAGAGCTGCATCCGCATTGTTCGAGTCACGCTGCACCTCGTATCCCAGAAATGCAACATTGATTCCCGCAGACATGAGCAATGATATTACTTCTCGTTCAGCTAACAGAATATGCCCCCATCTTCCGTGAGTGGGCACTCGATCAACTGGTTGGTTCCATGTTTTGTCCACGAGCTCGGACAATCCCGGCGGTGCATCATGAATGATGTCTTTTTCCAATGGCATCGTAGTTGGAACTGTCGATACATATTCAAGAATGAATTGCGTTGCAACTCTGCTAGCTTCTGGCCTATCGTATGGGTCATCATTCTACTTACAGCTAGACGTACAGCCAGACATAGAAACCATATCAAGCCCAAAGGGCAGCGTTCTCGTCGGAACAATCAGCTGATGACGCTGGGCTATGTGTTGGCTGCATATGCCGTCCGACGTCGCAGCCTTCTCTTCGCGTGCTGATATTACTTCACCACCCACCAAACCACCCCAACCCAACCCGACCTCCATTTCCAGTGGGTGGGGGGGGGGTCGGGGAACATTGAGAAAACACATGGAACCCGTACCCCCCCCCAACCCGAAATTCGGGTCTTCGGGTTGGGTTGGGGTGGCCTGGTAGGTAGTCCTTACTTCATCAATGCGGTTGGGCCGATGATGAAGGTCAGCAACGACCTGGGAATCTATGTCTCCGATTTGGTTCGACGCAGAAGCTCGGTTGGCTTCGTTCAAGTTTTCCGGTAACATTTGAACCGATGGAATTATAATCCCTTTGTCCGCCATTTCTTATCCCCATTGGTCCCAGCCTGTCCCTGGGCGAATTTGCTTGGCACTAACATGTTCGCAATCAAAAACAGCAAGTGCAGAGTATCTCATTGACGAGCGTATTGGTCCAGATCTGGCGTCCAGATTAATGGCCACCATTGGGCAGCGGTTGGGGCATTTTTCCCATGCTTGAACATCAGCCATTTAATAAATCGGAGCTTGAGTGGTTCCAGATACTGGAAGCGTGGCTCATGACGCGCCGGCAGCTGCGCCGAGGCGCTGTCGGGTCTCCAGGAGGGGGCGATCCCTGGATGCGAATTTGTAAACGTAGAACCTGCGAATGCAGCCCGTGAGCGTACCTGCGAGTTGCTAACCCACTTGCGCCGGCGTTGTTCAGCTTTGTTCAAATGTTCAGCGCATCAGAAGAGCTTTTTTTCCATTGCTTTCAGCCTGTTAGAAATGATCTTGGAGCCGCTCTCCTCCCCTCTTGGGGAGGGGGATCTAGGCGTGGGGCCAGTCCTAGGCTCGCCCATGCAGCAACCAATGCATCTCTGCCAGGCGACTGTAAATAGCTCACTCTAACGTTGTGTATGTACGTGACAGGGGTGAAGCATTGTAGATAAATCCGAAACCAGCCCTCGCGGCGTGGTGTTGATTGCAAATTTACCTCCCATCGTCAGTCCACATTCTCATCGTGATGAGGGTCTTTTCTTTGTCGGACAGTGTGCTCTGCCCTGCGTCGGCCACTTGTTCGTCAGGAAAAAGAACAATGTTCTAATTGTGCCGTGCGAGGACGCTGCCTCATGCGCAGACCATTCTTGTGAAAATGACATGTTCCAGATCATCTGCCGCGCGTTACTTGCATTCTGTTCAAACGGCGCTAATTGCACGGCGCGAGAGACGTCATTGAAGCGTGCTTGTCCCGCCGTCGCAAGAGTTCCGTCGCGGCAGATGCGATGCCTTCGGCGGGTCGCCGCCCGCCCGTTCAAGACAACAACATATGGCCAATTTTCGTTATGCGTCGAATCAGTTTCCCAGAAAGATGGGGTGACTGCGCGAGGCCAAGTTCCCTGAGTCGGAGGTCCACCGCCGGCCGGGGCAGCGCCCGCAGCCTGATAGAAATCTGCGGGTGGAGCTTCACCATCCTTCCGCTTGCCGAGCCAGTGAAGGACGTGCTCGGCACATTCTGCAGGGAACTCTCGCCTCGTAGGTATCAGTCTAAGAAGTCCGTAATCAGGTGCTTTGCATAATCCACTAAGCTTATTCGTGTACTTGATAATCCCTGATCCGAATGTTGACTCCTCGATGGTTTCTAGGGAAGGAGCGTGCAGCAAATGCCCGCGACATCGCGCCATCCCGAATTCGCAAAGCGCATGCATGCGTTCTATGCTGCGGGCGAAACAAGAGTGTCCTTGACATGCGCGACCGAACATTGGCATGGGCCTATGCGCCCGTTCAGCTCTACCGATGGAGATGACTCTGTGTCCATTTTCCTCATCAGCGACTGTGTCGCGCGAGGTGTCTGGATTCAGGGAGGACTGCCAGTGCGCCATTAGCTTTGTCTCATCAAGAACCATAATGAAGTCAGCCTTTATGCCTAGAGCATCAATCTCCCCCGACGGTAACATTGATAGGACATGTACTGCAAGAGCAGTGGTGGCATGAGTGATTCCATCGCTCGGCATCTTCCGAATGAGATCGCCCGCGTGCGCCCGCCCGCCCGATGTCGGGCGTGTTCGGCGCAATGTCTGGCCGTGTGCACCGCGCACTCACCTGCGAATTGCGCATCGGAGTGCGTTCGGTGGCTTCATTTTCTCCAGGACTCTGAGCTTCCCAACGTGGCAGACCTTTGGCCCTGTCTCAACACGTTTGCCTCCGCTTCCTCGGCTGTGGCGGGGGCGTCATTCGGCAGCGCTAGAGGGTAAGTGCATTGTAGGCCTTCTGGGGGATGAAATCTGGTCTGTCATCTGAGTCAAACTCTGCTTTGAGAAATTGGATCGCTTGATTGAATCCTTCCACATTTAGCTCCCCTAGCAACGCAAAAATTGGGTCGTGCACCATGCGTGCACTTTCCTTGATCGTGTGATACGCGCGCCCACGAATGGCTGCGATGTGTGTGTGTGTGTGTGTGGGGGGGGGGGGGGCGCAGGGCCAGTCCTGTGGGCTTCGATAACTTGCTTTCGGATTTCGTCACTCGTTACATCACGAGCGTTCTCTCGTTGCTGTTGTTGGTCAAAATACAGGGGGCCCCCCATCAGTGGCAACTCTTGCATGACTAACATTCCTAGTTGGCCCGGGCGGGGCTGCTTCTGATCAGGCGTCGGCGGAAGAGTTATGCGCAAAAGCAGTTTTGTAACTCCTGGGCTAATATCTGCGCCAACGTCTTCCGTTATTGACAAACGAGACTTTTCCCCAGCGTAGGGGATCCTCAGTCTGTTGTCTTGCGGTTCCGCAGAGCGCGAGTCTCCTTCTCCATCCATCTTCGCATCAGCTGACTCTTCGTTAGTCCCGAATGTACCGGTCAACGTCGCAGGATCAGTAGCTTTTCGGGCGTTAGGGGCCTCTCCCGACGGAATGACATTCGGATAGCGAACTTGGAGAAACCTACGCAAATAATCGGACACATTTTTATAAGGCAACGAATGTTCGGTGGGTTAACTCCTCTTTTCCTCTGCTTGTTTCAGATAGCGAAGTGCCCAGGTGATCATGTCATCCCCGAAAAAGGTTGCCTCTTCAGCAGAGAGCCCTTTAACGCCTTCAAGCTGAAGTCCACCGGGGCGAGCTTGCCAGAGCCACATTCATTCATTACGAAGTGACAAAGATGCTCGGCTCGATTGCGATCCAAAGTGTATAACCAAACGACTACCGAGACGGGGTCATCGCCTTAGAGATCAGTTGGAGGCATTAACAAGTCAAAATTGCACTTCCCCCCTGCTCCGCCACCATCATCAAGCCTTTATGGTTGAGAGGACTGCGGGTCATTCACATTGGGTCCGCAGTAGGGGGGCCCGGCAAGTCAAGCAAGGAAGTTTTGAGCCCCCCTGGGGCATTCACCTCGATAGTTTTCTTGCTTGCTCCGGCTGTGCCGGGCTGCTCATATTGCGCCTCCGCGGGCGCGCCAAACGTTCTTTTGCCATCTTGCAAACTGAATCGCGGAGGGTCCTTCGGGGGGGGCGTCGGAGGTATAGCTGAGTTCTTCGAATTTCCTGCGTCCGGCGTATCCGCCGGCGCTGTAGGCGGAGCATCTCTCAAAGAGGGTTTCCATTGAGGCGGAATGTCTGGAGGCGCCTTCGCCCCTCCCTTGGGCGTCTGATCAGAGTCACCTGGCTTGGCCATTGACTTCGAAGCAGGTCCAGGGGGGTCGGAAGCGGTTCCGACACGTTATCTGACAATGGTTCCCAAGGGTTCGTGTCGCCTGGCGGCGGTGCCATGGGGGGCAGGCCCCCTTCTTGAGAGTCGATGTCCAACCCAGCAGCCGTCATATCTCCTTGGCCTTTAGGACTGGGCGGCGTAGGAGGTCTGGCTGATTTAGGCGGCGGAGGTCTCGGTTCCTGATTGACACCAAAACGCGGGGGCGGCTTGGCTGAGTTAGAAGCAGACCCGCCCGCCGGCTGTGCCGGTAGCTTGGTCTTGGCTTCCGCTTGGCCATGGGCCGTGCTTTTTCTTCCTTCATTTTAACCTCGCCGCGGTGGCAGAGCAGATTTGCTTTTTGATTTTTTGGGTTTTTCGGTTTTCGCACTGCAAATTGGGCGCGCGCCTGGCGCCCAGAAGGCGCGCTGGGGGCGACCAGGACAACGCCCGGGAGAGCGCCTGGGAGCGCGCTGGGGCGAGCGCCCGGACGAGCCCAGAATTGCGCCGAGAACAGCGCCCAGGACAGCGCCATCAAGAGTGCCCAGAATATAGCACAGACGCGAATCTTGAAGAGCGCCCGAAAGAGCGCCCGGAAGTGCGCCGAGAAACGACCGATTTTGCAACCGATTTCGCGTCCGATTTCGCGTCCGATTTCTTGTGTGTCGATTCCATACTGAAGTAAATCAGACGCAAATCAGATGTAAAGTCGGACAAAAATCGGACGCAAATTGGACGCCGCATCGGACGCAACATCGGACGCAACATCGGACGCAAAATCGGACGCTGATGGCGTCGACCATTTCTGGGCGGATGAGGCAGCGTATCGCGGTGCATCATGGTGCGGTCTGGTAGGGTGTGTATTGCGGACCCATGCGCGCAATTCAGTGTTGGAGTTTTAGCGATGTGGCGAACGACAAACTGCGATATCGCGTTGTGTCCAGGTCGGGCCAAATCGACAGAAAAATCGGATCGCCGCTTCTGCGGCCGTTTTGCAGGTTTGCTCCGTTCAAAAACGGGTGTTCGAACTTGAGTTTGCAGCCTCTGTTCTCCAAATATTCCCACGCATGTTCCATCGAACGATCATGCTCAAGGTGCGGGGAAGCATTCTCCTGGCAAGCTATTGGAGGAAGGGCAGGAACTCATTGGCATTGTTGGTTCCCGACTTTGTCTATCATTTCAGCTCTCTCATGGCTCTTCGTTTTTTCAACGTTGAAATCGTTGTCCACAGTTTCGCCGCCTTCCAATGCTTTTCGCATTCGCGTCCAAGAGCTACCCCCGTTCGCAAAGAACGCGGCGGGGTGCCAATGGTAAATGCGTATCTCAGTCCTTATTACGTGTTCGGTACTTTTAGTGAACTGTTGTGTTGGACCATCTCCACCAGAAACAAGCTTGGGATGACTCCAAAATACAGTGGCCACAGTGTCCCAATACCCATCATTGAAAATTTCTTCCGCCATCGCGTATCGCGTGTGGGTCGAAGGATTATCGTCAGGGTGTGCAAAGGAATCTATTCCAACGATTGTCTTCTTCACATTTCCCCCGTCCTCGGGGTCCGAAGGAAGGATTTGGTATCCTTCCTGAATTGACTGGAGGGTCCCAACGGATGTTCCGTGGGACTGCCTTGTCCAATTTTTGTCCGAAATCAGTTTTTCCACGTTATCCTCTCTCACTCTAAGAGGTAGCGTCAGGTGGACACATTGCTCCTTCTCTGTGTGTGCTCAATCATTGCTGCCTTTTCCCACATGATGTAATCAGCAATCGTTCTCGGTTCCCCTGACACCGTGCGATAACGTCGTGTAATGAAGAAGTTTGCCCAATTCGGAATCACATATTCAGCAAACAGAACTGGTCGCTTCGCACTGTCTTGGAGCAGTTGATCTGCCACCCACACTTCTCCGTTCGATGCCACACACAAACGCTTGCAAGCTTCACTACGCACGAATGTTTCATTGTTCTTTGTCTTCCGCAACAATTCATCATAGTCTTCGCCTGGCCACAAGTTATTATTGCTGAGGGAGGTGTCTCTTTCAGTTCCCTCAGTTCCCTCAGTCACTCCAATCGTTGACTGACGTGGCAATTTGATAGGCCATCTGCGAACATGATCGGGCCCAACTGGAGGGAATTGCTTTTTTTCTTGCCCAGCTGTGTTCCTTTGAACTCAGGGCACTTTTCTTTTACTACTCGTTCCCAATGGACCGCGGGGGAAACAGCGGCCAGTACTCTAATGTGTTCAACTGACCGCGCCCAGTGCTTGATTGGGCTCGTGGCTGTGCCAGGTCCAACCAGCCCCCCAGCGTCACCCCGACTCTGCGCGGCTGTGCCGGCAGAGCCCGCGGCTGACGACGCTCCTCCAGGGCTGATTTGCAACTGATCGTCGTGCCTAGTTACGGGCTGTGCCCCCGAGGCTCGCCGTGCCGTCCGTTTGGCAGACGTCCAAGTCTTGCACTTGTCGTCACGTTTGGGGTCCGGAGGCGCGGACCTGGAGGACGTCTCGAGCGGGAACCTCGTTTGTGAGTGCATCATGAGGAAGTCTCGAGCAGGAGCACCCTCCCTGGAAGGCCGCCATCTCATGTTCCCGATCGGAGTGGGTCATCCAAAACTTGTAACTGTCGTCATTTGTGGGCTCCCGATGCGGGGATCGGGGGGACGTCTCGAGCGGAAGCCTCGTCTCTAAGTGAATGGTGAGGAATTCTCTAGTGGGCCATCTGGACCTTGTATTTCCCAACATTCTAAATGTGATTCTGTTTTCTCTGGACACCCAGCGAAGCCCTCGCACCTCACACACCCCTCTTCTCACCCGCCTCTTCTTTCACACCCACCACCACCACCACACCACCATCATCATTATCATCATCCCATCGTGATAATTTTTTACCATGGCCACATTCACTCTCGCTCACACTTTCACATGCTCGCAAAGTCATCTTGACATATCTTGACGACCTCTTGAGCGGGCGCCTCGTCTCTGAGTGAATTGTGAGGAAGTCTCAGGCGGGAGCCCCTTTCTTCTGGGGCCGCCAGATCATGTTACCAATCCGAGCGCATCATCCAGAACCTGCAGTTGTCGTCACTCTTGGGCTCCGTAGGCATGAATCTGGAGAAAATCTCGTGCGGGCGCCTCTTCTCAGAGTGAATTGTTAGGAGATCTCGAACGGGAGCCCCCTTCACGAGGGGGCCGCCATAACATGGTCAGCATGGTATTACTCCGAGTGGGCCATCCCAGAAGTTGTAATTGTCAAACTTGAGAGGCTCCTGAGGCGTGGAGCTGGAGAAAGTCTCGAGCAGGAGCCTCGTCAGAGTGAATTGTGGGAAATTCTCGAGCGAGAACCCCCCTCCCCATGGGGCCGCTAGATCATTTTTTTGTTTAAACATATGTTTTCTCCATTTTGTTTAAAAAAAGATCCGAGCGAGTCATCCAGGTCCTGTAGTTGCCATCAAGTTTGGGTTCCCAGGGTGCAAGTCTGGAGGACCTGTCGAGCTGAACCGTGAGGAAGGCTCAAGCAGGGGCCTTCTCCCTGCGGGGCCGGCAGATCGTGCTGGATGCACAGGCCGACGGGATTTTTGTAACTGTCGACACGCCGTGGTCTCTGAGGCAGGAATCTGCTGGACGTCTTGAGCGTGAGCCCCGTCTCTGAGTGAACTGTGAGTGAGTCTCATCCGAAAGCCCCCTCCCCACGGGGCCGCTGAACCTTTTATGTCATGATGACGGAGCCGCTGGATCATAGTATTAATCCCAGCGGGTCATCGAGAACCTGTAACTGTCATCACTTCGGGGCTCCTGAGGCATGAATCTGAAGGACGTCTCGAGCGGGAGCTTCGTCTCAGAGTGAATTGTGAGGAATCTCGAGCGGGAGCCCCTGTCTTCTGGGGCCGTCATATCATGTTATCAGTCCGAACGGGCCATCCAGAACCTGAAGTTGTCGTCACTCTTGGGCTCCTGAGGACTAAGTCTAGATAACTTCGCAAGCGGCAGCCTCGTCTTTGAGTGAATTGTGGCGGGGAAGTCTCGAGCTGGAGCTCCCTCCCTATGGGGCCGCCACACATGTTATTAATCATAACGGGTCATCCACTTTCCTATTCCGGAGGCATGATTCTGAAGGACGTCTCGAGCGGGAGTCTCGTCTCTGAGCGAGCTGAGTACAAGTGTCGAGCAGGATCCCCTCCTTTGTGGCCGCCAGATCATGTACTAAATCGAGCGAGTCGCCCAGAACGTGTAAGGCGCCCGTGGCGTGAGTCTGGAGAAAGTCTCGAGCGGGAGCAGGAGGAGGAGGAGGAGGAGGAGAGGATGAGGAGGAGGGGGCCCCAGGAGGCTCCAGGAGGCCCCAGGAGGCTCCAGGGGGCACCAGGGTGCCCGAGGAGACCCCAGAAGGAGGCAGGATGCCCAGGGAGGAGGCAGGAGAAGGCATGGTGAGGGGGAGGAGGAGGACGAGGAGGAGGAGGAGGAGGATGAGGAGGCAGGAGGATGACGCGGGAGAAGCAGGCAAGAGGAGAAGGAGGAGGCTGGCAGCGGTAGGAGAAGGGGGCAGGAGGATATCTCCACTCACGCTAAAAAATCATGCGGAGTCCGATTGTCGGAGTATGTTTGAACAGGTCGGACGAGACCTCCCGGATCCGATGCCATGTCCAGGCTAGGCGGCCTAGTATGAGTATACACTAAGAAGGAAACGTGTCGCGTGGTCGCAGAAGTAGGAGAAGCCGTCGTAGAAGAGGGAGCATTCACATGTTGTGTTCGCAGGAGGAGGATCAGTAACTGCAGTAGCCGTATGGGTAGTAAGTAGCAGTGGTAGCTCTAATAGTTGTGCAGCGACCACTAGCATTGAGACTAGACTTCGTGCAAGGACTGAGGGGAGGAGGATGAGGTGGAGGAGGAGGAGGCGGAGGAGACGGAGGAGGAGGAGGAGGAGAAGGAGGAGGAGAAAGAGGGGCAGGAGTAGGAGCCAAAGTCAATCCGGCCAGGTCGAATGCGCCAGCGGGCCATGCCCATTCCCACCCACCCTACCATGACATAAGAGTCACTTGTGGCACACTTGGTATTTGGATTGGAACGCGTTCGGGCCTAGCGAATTGAAGGCGCTCGCGCGCGGTCCCGCTTCCGACGACTTGTCGCGGAGAAAACTACGCGGGCCGCGCAGAGTGAGGGCGCAACTTCAGAAAATCCGTGCGTGGGGCTACGGCGAGAACACCATTTAGCCTTGCCAAACTCCTGATGAACGCCGAAACAGCATTGCTTTGTTCAAGCAAAAACTGTGCGGCGCTCAGGCGAGGACAGCATTTCGTCTGATCTCGCGAGGCGCCGCTGCCGCTTCCGTTTTCATAAGAACATGCGCTGCACCGAGGCGAGAGTTCACTTCTCAGGAGAACAGAAAAGCGCGGCGCCGATGCGAGAGTGACGTCCCGCCCTTGTGCCACGCATCTTGCAACGTCGCGCCCCAAATGTCCGTGTTGAGAGCAGAAGCTTCGCTTGTGTACTCTTTACTGCAGGTCGGACAGAAACGCCCATATTGACGTGCTACTGGCCGGCGTCTAGACGGCCCAGTAAGATTATATGCGAATACGGGGCAAGGACATGTAGTTGCAGGTGAGGCAGGAGAAGGATAGGAAGAGGACCAGTAGGAGTAACACTAGTAGTAGGAGCAGTCGTGCAATAGTAGCAAGAGCAGCTGTAGGGGCCGTCGTGGTAGAGGTAGTAAGATTCTGACGTGGGGGCCTCGACATTGTCCCAGCGGCTCCGCTTTTCTTCCTGCTCCTCGACATTCTCCTCATCCTGCCCTTCACCCCCCTTCAACTCCTCGTCCTCCTTGTTCTCGACATTATCCTCCTCTCCCTCAGGGCTCATCGCTGCGGCAGCATGGTTCTCCTCCTCCTCCTGTTCTCCTAACCTCTGCTTGTGCAGGTGCGTTATGCCTCGGAAGCTGCTGAGAAGGAGGACGAGGGGGAGCAGGAGGAGGATCAGGATAATGGGGAGGAGGAGGAGAAGGAGGAGAAGGAGGAGACGGAAGAAGGTGAGGGGAAGAGGGCGAGGATTAGGATAAGGAAAAATAACGAGGATGGGGCAAACGGAGTAGGAATTAGAGAAGTGATGCGGATGTGAATGGGCGCTCATTCCTTTTGTCGTCTGTTTTCTCATCATCGCTCTTTTAACCATTTCCTCTCTTGTATCTCCTCCTCAATTGCAGAGCCGCGCATGGATGTCATACGAGGGCGCGCTCGGTGTCTCCAGACTGCCCTAGATGTTTGCAGAACTAAAGTTGCACGTTTAAGCCTTCCTGGCCAGGCCCCACGAGGACCCTTCCACTCCTCTTGCTCTCATCCTAGGTCAATTTCCTGCTACCCCCAATCTTGCTCAATTTCTGATCCACCTCCTCCTCCTCCTTCCCTCCTTCTCCTCCTCTTTGTAGTGCCAAACCGATGGGCAATATGCAACTCCGATATGATGATAAGCATATCAGCACGAACATTTCTTTGATCGAGAGTGTTAAAGCGGACAAAATCCCAGACGTTCGTTTCAAAGCCATGGCTTTTGGATCTTGATATGACGCACGGCGTACTGCAAAACATTCCGCCGTTAATAGTGAAAAGTGGCTCTGCCACACACCTGGGGTCAACAGCGTGGGCGACTCCATGCACATCAACGTCATCATCATCGTTGCTATCGCTTTTCTGGTTCGAGCGCCTTAGTTAGCCTCGACATGCGTGACATCGCCGAACGCTATAGCCCTCCGCGTAGTCCCATTGTATTGTTTTTTGGCCTCCCGCTTCGCCCATTGGGCCCGTCGGTTGTTGGCTACAATGAGTATGCGGTCCTCCTTGGCCGTGCTCCGGAGAGAAAAGACAACGGATCTTGCGGTGAAGTACCCAGGGCGCCTGAGCAATCAGTACGCAAAGCCGGACAACATGTCCATGGAAGTTCTCCTCCAGCGGTACAATCTAGGGGAATATTACCAGTTCTTTGACACCGCAAAATACAGCATGATCGACATCAGCGGAAAGTTCAACGACCAGACGGTGGAGTACATTCTTTCGGACGTCGAGAAGCGGAACGGAATTAGATTCAAATCCGACGTTCGCGTGCGACTTTGGAAGGCCTTGCGGCACATTTGGATGCACGGCATGCGGGAGCGGCCAAAACATGTCAGGGACGCCGACGTGCCTCAGGTATTCCTCCCAAAGAAGGATTACAGGCAGGTCGATTCGATTGTGAAGCTTGGCGACCTGGAGCCCGACCGGCAGCGGCAGATCATCAGGAAAACCAAGCCTGCCATATCTTCTGGGCGTGGTCCTGGGATCCACGTCATGCAGTTCGAGGTATACAGGAGGCAGATCGATATGTGGTACGAGTTCAAGGACTTGCAGCGGTGCGTAATCGAGTGGCAGCGCAAGAACCCTCGGACGATGCTGCAGGAAGATCCGAGAGAGGAGGTCATGAAGCTGCGCATCCGCGACATGATCCATCGAAGCGACCACGAGGCCAAGCTGGCCACGGAGAGGGGCAAGGGGCAGTTCTATACCTGGGTCTGCCTGGTGGGAATTCAGCTTGTGATGGGGTCGCTATCGGCTCTCATGTGTCTGGTCACGTACATGGCCTACCGGGCCTCACCGCCCACGCTGTATCTCGAGTTCATGGGCGGCAGCAAGCAGCTCATCTCCGCCGTGTCTTTCCTCCAGGCCTTCACCGTTGCGTACGTTGTCATCCAACGGCGGCGAGTGAACCCGATGATAAAGCGCTACCAGGATACGTCGATATCCTGCGATCGCTTGATGGAGCAGATCAGCGACTTCCGTTTCGAAACCAGCCCCCTGCGGTTAGCCAGAGAGGAGGACCAGCAGAAAGATGACAAGTATGTGCCGCGGCGAAAGAAGGCCCCCGTGGGGAGCCTGACCGACATGGTCAAGCGCAACGGTCCGAAGGCCGCCGTGCCCAGGCGGCGGCCGAGAGGAGGGGCGAAGGACGAGGAGGAGGAGGAGGAGCAGGAGGAGGAGTAGGAGGAGGAGGAAGGGGAGAATTGCAGTCGAATCGACAGCGTGCTGCTGAAGCAGAGAAGAGTGCGCGACGTGCCGATACCACAAGAGACGATGATGATGATGATGATGATGATGATGATGATGATGATGATGATGATGATGATGATGATGATGATGATGATGATGATGATGATGCTGATGCTGATGTGATGATGATTCTGATGATGATGATGATGATGATGAGGATGTATGATGATGTTGGCTGCTGATGAGGATGATGGAGGATGATGATGATGATGATGATGATGCTGCTGATGATGCTGATGATGCTGCTGATGATTGCTGCTGATGATGATGCTGCTGCTGATGATGATGCTGCTGATTATGCTGATGATGATGCTGATGAGGGATGATGATGATGACTGATGATGATGATGATGATGAGGATGATAATGATGATGATCATGATGAGGATGATGTGATGATGATGAGGAGGAGGAGGAGGAGGAGGAACAGGAGGAGGCATGAGGAGGAGGAGGAGGAGGAGGGAGGCGGAGGAGGCAGGAGGAGGAGGAGGGAGGAGGAGGAGGAGGAGGGGGAGGAGTGAAGAGGAGGAGGAGGGAAAAGGAGGAGAGGAGGAGGAGGAGGAGACGGAGGAGGAGGAGGAGGAGGAGGATGAGGAGAGAGGATGAGGAGGCGGAAGGCGGATGCGAAGGGGAGACGGAGGCGGAGGAGGAGGAGGAGGAGGAAGGAGGAGGCGGAGGAAGAGGCGGAGGCGAGGCGGAAGGCGGAGGAGGAGGAGGAGGAGGAAGGCAGGAGGAAGGAGGAGGAGGAGGAGGAGGCGGAGGAGGGAGGACGGGGTGAGGAGAAGAGAGGAGGAGGGAGGAGGAGGAGGGAGGAGGGGGACGGAGGAGGACGAGGAGGAGGAGGAGGATGAGGAGGATGAGGAGGATGACGAGGACGAGGAGGAGGAGGAGGAGGAAGAGGAGGAGGAGGAGGGATGCTGCTGATGATGATGAGGAGGAGGATGATGATGATGATGCTGATGGTAATGATGATGATGCTGATGATGCTGATGATGTCGATGTTGCTTCTGATGATGAGGATGCTGCTTCTGATGATGATGCTGATGATGATGCTGATGCTGCTGCTGCTGATGATGATGCTGATACTGATGATGATGATGGCGACGATGCTGACGATGCTGCTGCTGCTGCTGATGATGATGATGATGATGATGATGATCGCGGTGCTGATGATTATGATGCTGCTGATGATGCAGATGCTGATGATGATGATGATGATGATGGTGTTGCTGATTATGGTGATGATGGTGATGATGATGCTGATGGTGATGATGATGCTGATGATGATGATGCAGATGTTGCTGATGATAATGGTGCTGATGATTATGTTGATGATGAGGATGCTGATGCTGATGCTGATGATGATGATGATGATGCTGATGCTGATGATGCTGATGATGATGATGCTGATGATGGTGATGATCATGACGATGGTGATGCTGATGATGATGATGCTGATGATGATGATGCTGATGATGATGATGATGATGGTGATGATGATGTCGATGGTGATGATGATATCTGATGATGGTGATTATAATGATGATGATGCTGATGATGATGCTGATTTTGATGATGACGATGATGCTGCTGATGATGATAAGGTTGATGATGATGGCGATGATGATGTTGCTGATGATGCTGATGATGCTGATGATGCTTATGCTGCTGATGATGATGATGATGATGACGATGACGATGATGATGCTGATGATGATGAGGATGATGCTGATGCTGATGATGCTTTTGATGATGCTTCTGATGATGATGATGCTGATGATGATGATGCTGATGATGATGATGATGATGATGTTGCTGATGATGATGATGATGATGATGATGATGATGATGATGACGATGATGATGCTGATGATGATGATGATGATGATGATGATGATGATGATGATGCTGATGCTGATGCTGATGCTGATGCTGATGAAATGAGGAGGAGGCGAGGAGAGGAGGAGGAGGAGGAGGAGGAGGAGGATGAGGAGGAGGGGGGGGAGGAGGAGGAGGAGGAGGATTTTTTAACGCTCGACCTCTGCTTGACCCCCAACGAGTGGGGACCGCCTCTCCTCACAACACAGTCCAGGGAGAGGGCAAAAACTGTACGTTCTTCTCCCTCTTGATCTGCTGTGGGTGTCGGCCTTGGATTACATAGTTCCAGGCCGTAAGTCCTGCCCCTGTCTTCTTACAGGAACAGGGTTCACCCAGCTTCTTGACGCGGCCGCCTGTGCTGTAAGAGCCGCACCGACGGCAGATACAGAGGAAAGAGCCGTCCGTGCAGTCCAACAACGCACAAAGATGGTTGAACTGCTCAAGGAGGCTCGGGCACAGGCGGGGAGGCACTACACAGTGGCCAGGCGCTGGGCGCGCCTGACCTCGCTTGCCTCTCAGACACGTGCTGCACTGCCAAAACTCCCCAGACCAACGCCACTCGTGGGGCGTCTTCGACGTCTGAGCTGGTGGGGCCTGGGGCTTGATGAATTGAACGCCAGATAAGTCGAGCCGCGGCCAGCGCGGCAAGAGCTTGGCTGCCAAGAGGATGACAGCCTTCGCAATCCTGATCTCACGCTCGACGCGAGACAAGACGACAAGGTTGGCTTGGGGATGGACACTTGCGCCCCGCTCAGCCGCGAGGTCGGCATGGAAGTTACCTGTCCTCCGCCAAGCCTCATGAGCAGAAGTTCCTGCTTCATCTACAGCTTTGTGCGCGGCGGCTCTGACCAGGCCCTGGAGGAGGGGCCCAACGCCCGCGAAGGCTTCCAGGACCGAGCCCGCGCAGGCTCCATGCCCCTCCCCCCCCCCCCCCAGGCGGCCCCGAGGCGCCCTGGAACACGCAGAAATAACCGACGCGCAATCCGAAAGAAGAGTCGCTGGCCCATCTAAATTGACACCCGCAGCAGCCAGTGCCGTGAACTCATTAGCCTGAGAGGACTGCGGCAAGTGAGAAAAGACAGGCCCTAGCACTCTGGCCAAGAGATGGCCCTGATCAGACAACAGCACAAAAGCCCAGCCAGCTCTGGACAATCCACGAATCTTAGACTGAAAACAACTGCCGCCCAGGAATAAACTGCCTTCAAAGCGAAAATTCTCGGGCCCTTGGAACTCCAAGCCTGAATCCTGGAAACCTTCCTGGAGGAACTCCATCTTGACAGCGTCCGAGTCCTGCTGGCTGACTGGTTGCGGCGCATAGTCGCCAGGATGCGCAAAGGCACCCGTCAAGAAGTTCACAAGGTCCCCAGAGTTCTGGTCACACGCGTCCCTAGCCAAAGAGATGACCTCCTCATCCACCAGCTCCTTCCTTTCCTCCATGCATGCTTCACACTCCCATAGTCTATGAAAGACAGAATCCACCTTAGTGTGACACAGCGGGCACAGAGGGCACACTTGGTAGCCATACCTTAGTGCGCGGGAGTTGGTCCACAAGGCATTGCAGGTGAGGGCACGAACGGAGCCTTTTTCCCAAGGCCGAAAGTTTTTTCGAGCGGAGACCAGCCGCGACGACATCGAAACACAAGCGATCCGATCCTTCGAGGCCGGGGGGCTTCCGATCGGGGGCCAACTCCACGGCAGCAGGCTCGTCTAGGCCTTGGGCAGGCTCTGGCGGAGGAACTCCAACGCCACAAAAGAGATCGCCGCCCACCAGCTTGCCGTAGGCCGCTCTCTCGAGCTGGCGCAGCACAGCCTGGCGCAGCAGAACCTTGAAAAGCGCTGGCGGGAGCTGCGAACAGGAGAGCTCTCGACCCATATCATCCGTGAAAACGACCATGTTCTTCATATCCCATCCAATCCTCCTGAGACCCATGAACATGGCACTCATCGGTCCCGAGGCGCTCCTCCAAGTGACAGATTGCTGACGACTGCGGAAAACGCTTTCCCAGGAAACCCGAATAGTAGCCCAGTCCAGGGTACCTGGAAAAGCACTGGTCCTGAGAAGCCAGACCTCTTGGATGTAGCGCAGCACGGGCGCGACCGAGCCGTGCCAAACAGGGCCCCCTTGAATGAGCGACAGCACCGTCAGCGATCTGCGAGCGGCACCTGGCTTGATGGAGCTGGCTGCCACACGCCGAAGACTGTAAACCTCTCCGTCCGTGAGTCCCTGGACTTCACATCCATAAATATATCCAGGCAACGGGCCAGCAAATAACACCTTGATAGCTTTCCTCCCAAAGTGAGAACGGAACCGCTTCAAACGAGCAGCCTTGCGCTGCATCTTGATCTTCCTCTCCTGACGCTTCCTCATCCCCCCCCTTGCCCGTCCTGAAACACTTCCCAGCCGCGTCGTCGCAGCCAAGATTGATGGCGGAGGTGCCCAGTGCGCCGAAGGGGCCAAGATCAGCCTCCAGCTGCTGGCCCAGGGCACCACAGGAGCACACTAGGGCAGCCTTGTCGAGAGCGACACGGCCGCCTAACATCTGCCTGGTACCCGCCAGCAGCAGGGGGGCCATGTTAAGGATGGCAGCTCTAACGAATGACCTGGAACCGATAGCCGAGATGCTGGTGTCATCGATGTAGGCGTCGGACGAGGAAAACTCAGAGAACTCCCGATCGATGCGGTGCAGGCTGAGCGAACGATGAACGGTGTCGAAGGCATCGAGGGCATGGGCACGGATGAGAGAAGTGGCCATGCTGCAGCCCGCGATAATGCCGTGAGTGGCCCTCAGAGGGCCAGAGATGATGCCAGAGCGGCAGATGTATCGTGCCGACTTATATGCCGCCAGACACATATGCAGGACTCCCAGAGGAAACTGATGCCTGCGACCTCTAAGTTCCAAGGCCTCGAGGTCAATCAGCTCATGGTACTTATACATGTCCCACAGAACAGTGGCTGAGCAGGCACCTCGTCTGACACCAGCTTCCGATCTAAAGGCTTGGCGCCACGCACAATCCATGGCCCCTCTGCGCCGTCCAGCGGCCCAGTAGTCCCTGGGGAAACGCGTTTCCCAGGCCTGAGCCAGGGGCCTGCGGGCCCGCCCCCAGAGGCGGTACACGGAGGGGAAAATGCCGATCGGCCGAAAACCCCCCTTCTCCTTGGCCAACAAAGCCACCACCACTGTCGAGAGCTGGGTCGGAAGAATGCCCGAGCGCTCAGCGAGCGAGAGGATCAAGCTGAGCACCTCCAGGCTGGCATCACTGAGGTGCTGAAAATGCCTCAAGTGAAAGCCATCGTAGGACACAGCACTCCTCTTAGGATACTTCCTGCCCAGCTTCCGAACGAACTCCACATCCAGAGTGGGGAGGGGCTCAGAATTTCTGCACCTGAGCTTCGGGGGCGAAACACGGACCTGCCAGAGGCCCGAGTACGTTTTGACCTCAGCGTCAAGCAACTGTTGAGGATCAGACACGACCTGACCCTCCGACGAGAGAGTCGTAGTGGGCTTCCAGCACAGGGGGTCTTTAATCGCACAGTGGGCATTGCGGGCTCCCTGACAAAGTTTATCCGACAACCAAGCGTGTCAGTCCTGACCAGCCGTACGCTGGTAGTGCTTCGTGCAAGCAGAGAGAACCTCCTTCTGGCGAGCGAGAAGGGCCTCCAGCCTAGCAAGCCTCTCAGCCAGCTGGTCAGAAGGCCTCTCCGCTTCGCTCAGAGAAGGGCCCCTGGCAACCTGCGAGGAGCCCCCCCCCCCCCGCCCTCGCCCACGCGAGGGGCGGGGGGGGCGCGTCCAGGGGCCAAGTGTTTCAAACAAAAAAAGCATCCAGCTCAACGCGGGGACGAGGGTTAAAACAATCCCAGTCCTTGAGCGAGTCCCTGATGTCCTGCAACAGAGAAATGTTGTCCTGGTGGGCCAGCTGACCAGGGACCCACTCGGACTGGAGCACGCCCGCCAGCAGCTCGCCAACGGTGCGCCTGGTGCAGGTCAAGGCTTGACCAGCCCAGACTGCAGGTAAAAGCTGGGCAGCAGCGCGGAACCTAGAACAAAACCACCTCATGGCTCGAAGCTCTGGGCACCGCCTAGCTTTGACATCTTTCTGAAGGATCGGCTTCCAACAAACCTGGGGGTCCTTGCCCCTCGAAAGACGGCAGGGAAGCTCCTCCTCCAGCCTCTGACAAAGCTCTCCCTCAGACTCATTGGCCCAGATCTGATAGGTCTTGCTCAGAAGACGCTGGACCTCGCTTGCGCCCTGGGACCTCAAGGCTTTCTCTCCCCACTCGAGGCATATGCGGGCCCTTCCGAAGTCACCTGGGGGGGGGGGGCACCCGTAGGGGCGTCCACGGGGAGAGGGGGGGGGGGGCCTGCGGAAACCCAGGGCCTGCCGGCGGCAGAGGGCAGGGTAGAACTCCAGCTCCACCGCGAAGTGCGGCGAGAACTCACTATCTCCGCATCGCTGCACTTGCTTCACACCTCTGGCCAAGCCTCCAGAAACGAGGAAGTAATCGTAGTCCGACTGACGAGCGCCGAAACATGTGGGCGCTCCAGTCGAGATAAGTTCGCGCCTAGCCAGCTCCAGGAACCCGTATCTCTAAGCTCTGGGGGCTCGAGGTTGAAGTCGCCCCCAACGACGTGCGAGAGGCCCTCGAGAACCACATGGGAGCCTATCGCCTTATAGAGCTCCAACTGCTTGGCCGCGAGGCCCTCCGTGTCGAACCCGTAAACAGAGACGAGCCCAAACTGAACACCCCCTGGGAGATGAGCAACAGCACCCAGAGCACGGCCTTGAAGGATCTGCAGAGGTTGGTGGAGCCCCATGAAGGCCCTGGCAAGGACCGCTGCGCCTCCTGACGTGCCTCCTCCAGCCGTCCGGACTGCGGGCTCCCGCAGGCTCTTCCACCCATGATCGAGACAAAACTTCGAAGCGCGACCAATCGAATCTTGATCAGCCAAGTGGTGCTCCTGCACAAAGATGACGCGGGGGGTCTTCGCCGACGGAAGCCAATCACGAAGCGAGCCCCAGCTGTTACAGTTAGCCGTGGCGATTACCATTCCGAGAGTGTCTTCGTCTGGCCTGGACCCTGGGCCTGGGGCTCCTGGGCCCGAGAGAAGATGACTATAGCTAGAACTAAAATTGGCTCCATCAAAATTGGACTCCCACCCTTCCCCAATCCGACAAAAACTACACTCACGCGAGACAGGGGGCGGGTCAGGCGGGGAGCCGACGCAGGAGTTCGAGGGGATCGGCCCCTCACCCTCAGCAGCCACTACCCCCGCCGCCACCGCCGCTGGGGGCGGGGGAGCGAAAAGAAGAATCAGAAGATGAGAGTACCTTCGAGAGCCTGGCGCGGAGAGCAGGGTCGGCCCCCGAAGGCCGCGACGAGCTCGAAGCGCTTCCAGGTGAGGCGGCTGGGGCTCCACCTCCAGCCTCAGAAGTTGCCCGCTCAGCGCCACCTGGCGCTGCAGCGCCAGCTCCTTGGCCAGGTTCTCCAGCACATTCACCGCCACCAGGTGTGTCGCCCTCCGCGGCCCTCCTCTTCTTCTTGGACAGCCTCTTGAGGTGCTCCTGATGCTCACGACGAGCAGCCTCCAGGTGCGACGAAGCCTTGCCGAAGAGCTGCTTCGCCATGTCCTTGAGGCCCGAGCGCAGCTGGGCCTTGCGCGCCTCCAGCTGCTCCTTATCCTCCGCGGACATCTCGAACTCCTCTGGCATGTTCGCGCACAGGTCATCGACGAGCTCGAAGCTGAGCTCCTTGCCCTCCACCAGGTCGCGCAAGCTGATGGTCGGGCCAGAAGACTGCTTGGGCGGCACCGACGAGGCCACCTCCAAGCTGATCTGCTCGACGAGCTCCGAATACTGCCTCTCGAAGCCATCCAGCTCATCGGCCATCTCCTGGATGGAAGACTCGAGCATGACGGTCGCCTCACGCCAGCGCTCCAGCTTCGAGATCTCCTTTTCGAGCTTCTTCTCCACC